ATGTTACAGATGGTAAAAATGAAATCAAAATGGACAGAGCTCCCTGTACTTGGGGTTTGTCAGAACACAAGAAACCCAACAATCAGAACAAACAAGCATAAAAGAAGAGGAACTTAGAAGAACAAAACCGTGATCTTACTCAGCTCTAATTGGGGTTTGTAAGGAAAAGGAGAGCCCAATGTGAGCTAGGTGACTAAGCTATACCAACTACTGTACCTCTGTAAACCAATCCTACTACATGTAACTTTTCTTACAATAGTACAAGCGCATGAGACTATCCAGAAAATTGACAAAGTACAAGGCCCTAGGGAAGAGATCCCCAGTACACTCCCAGACATGTTCACTGCAGATCTCAACTTGGTCCAGAAAGTGACCAGGGTAGTTCTGAATTTAGGCATTTATTTGATTATATTATCAAAGCTCCTAAAGAGGAGCGAGTAGTACAACATCTAATGGATACAGCTGATAGTAAGCCAATAGCCAAGGCTGTTCAAAAGATGCCACCTTTTCTATTGGCTAACTTTCAGATGAAGTTGAGATCTTTGAAGAATAATGCTTCTATAGAACCTTCTACCTCATCTCGGTCTGAGTCATCACCTGCTCTTTTTTCCAAGATCCCATTTGTCAAATTAAGTTTTGTTAAACTTATAGGGCTATCAATGTCATTACCAAGAGGGATAGAAACCCCCTTTTTCTTATCCAAGACTGTTTCAATCAACTGCATGGCACAGTTTGTTTTTCCAAATTTGATTGCTAACAGGTATTCCATCAATTTAAAAGCTCCCCACACCTAAGACTGCATTTAGCACAAGATTTGGACATTACAAGTGGTTAGGAATACCATTTGGGCTTGCAAATGCTCAGAGTGCTGTTCAACATGTGACGAGCAACATTTGTATAAGTCTATATGGATGACATACTTGTAAACTCCAAGGCTGGAAAAGAACATGAAGAGAATGTTCAGTTGGTTTTACAAGCTCTGCAACGAAAGACCTAAAATGCAGTGCTGCCAAACATGAGCTATTTGCTGACACAATACAGTTTGTTGGCCACATGGTTTCAGTCTCCAGAGTTTGTCCCATGAAGGACACATTGCACACTGTTCAGGAATGGCCTGGGCCATTAAATGCCACTGAGGTCTGTTCTTTTGTAGGAGTCACAGCAGATTAATAATGTTCTGTTGGAGGCTTCTCCAAGATAGTTTCTCCATTGTGTGCCCTCACTGAAGGTAATGTGACAAAGAAGTCAAATTTAGGTTCTTTGGATGGCTGTACATGAGTCAGTTTTTGTGCTTCTTGAGCATGCTCCTCTTGAGTCACCTATTTCAATCACCTCAGACCCAAATAAGCCTTGTATTATTGATACTGATACAAGCAACTTTGATCTTGGGGTTCTCTTGCTTCAAGGTGAGGATTGAAAGGTACGTTCAGTGCCTATGAATCATTCAAATTAGGTCAGGCCAACATACTTATATGGTTTAAGAGTGTGGACTCTTAGCAATTATCCACACTTGCAGCAAACGGAAGAATCATGTTGAAGGAGCTGTACAGGACACAATTTTATGAATCAACCATGTTACTTTGACATATTTACAGAAACAAGCCCTCACCACAAGAAGGCTTCTTTGTTGGATCAAAGAATTTGGGAAGATGACAATAAAGTTTAAGTATAAAGCTAGCCAACATTGTCCCAGATGCCTTGAGTTGTAGGTGTGAACCCAAAATCTTGGTAATTCAATATTGTGATGCTTGACAGTGTGCTGGACTCCATAATCCAACTAATTGACCTCTGCTGATACCATATATTAAAACATTACAAGAATTTCCCAAGTGGGTTACTCCAGCAGTGATGGAGACTGCTATTCACAATTCACTTTCACTCATAGATTATCCCCATGAGGCAACTAGATCTGTGTTGGCACGGTAATGAGAGCGAGGAAAGTCCCTTTATTCCTTCTTGCCAACAAGCCAAGTTAAGGGATTTGCTACCCTGAAAATATGGCCATTGCGGAAGAGATGAGACCATATCTTGTCTTCAAAATTGAGGATGGCAGCCAGGTTGCTACAAGGACTTAGAGACCTATTGTAAGTATTATGCCAAATGTCAGGTTTTTGAGTCATCTGATAAGGACCAAGAGACTGCTAAACAGATCCCTTTAATTCCTGTAAATCCACGTGAGTGGTGCAAGTGGGCAGTAGATTTTATCTCCTTGCCAGAGAGTAAAGATGGGTATGAATGGATCCTGCACATGATTGATCATGGAAGATGTTGGCCATTGGGTATTCCTTTGAAAACATCAACTTTGGCAAATGTTGCAGAAGCGCTATACAGAGACCTTGGACGGTCTATGGGGTCCCTTTAAAGATAATTTGCAATAAGGGATAAAATTTTCCGTCAAAAGAAATGTCTAATTTTTATTGTGGATTCTGTCTTCATAAATTGGACACTTCAGGCTACCGTTTTCCTTCTAAGAGGAAGTGTGAGCATTTCAATGGGTTGTTGGAAAAATCCTCGTTTAAAGCCAACAAATCAAAAGACCAACAAGTTTGCCTGAGTACCTTGCAGAGGATGTTTTTTCTGTAAGAATAAATAAGAGTAAAGTGACCATTCTCAATTTACAATGTGTTTTATGCATATGTTTAGTAGAAACAGAATTGATCTAAGGCACAAGATAGAGATGTAGTTTTCTTTCAGTTGTAAGTATTTTTAAGAAGTGAATTGTCAACAAGGTAAATAAGGGAGTTTCTCAAGGACAAAAAATGGTGTTTACTGAAAAATCCTGAGGGGTGCTCTATTGGAGCTTACCTGGTATCAGGAAGACTACTCATCTCTCACAAAACTGGATATTTTGAGGTATAATATTTTGAGGTGTTGATAGGGGTGTTGAGACTATCACTGCAAGGGTGTTTGGTCAAATGCCAATGCTGTTCTCTTTTGAAATAGCCAATCAGAAGACCCTAGTAATACATTGGCACATAGAGAAATTTTCTTTTTTGAAAAGATGGGAAACAAACAATCAGATTGCCCCCAAAGTCATACAAAGCAATTTGATGTTCTGAAAAGCTTGGTTTCAATTTGGAAACCTCATTGAGTTCAACTTTAGGGAATGATCAATGTTTGTGATATTTGTGCAAGATGACTTGGTCTTTGCTTGCAACAGCCATAGGATTATCATATATAAATGAAGAAGGGTACCCCTTAGATCAACATATGTGATCTCAAAATGATTCTTGAAAAGTCCTTCCAGGACTTTAGTTTTCATATTTTTTGAAAATTCCAAGACGGAGAATGGTTCTCTGGATGAATTCATTCAGCTCTCAATTGAATAATAATGCATGTCATGTCCATGGAGTGCTATGTTTGCTTTTGGTATGTTGGTTATAACAAAACTTTCTTTACTTGATTTGTTGATAATAGTGAGACCAAAAGCTCATGTTGATCATTTTCCATGCATATAAATAATAATTGAGAGACTTATCCTTTTGAATTTGTGAAATTCGTCATGAATTTTACAATCAGAAATTGACCAATTGAAGATATCTTGTTTATGAAGTCAGATGTGGATTAGATTCATGTTTGATTTACCGTCAAAGATCTTTTTGATGAAAAAAGAACAATCGAATATGAAAAACCCAGAGCCTTCAAGTAAGCAATCCACATAAATTGCAGTTGAGAAAATAAAGAATGAGATGAGATGAAGAAAAATATGAATCAAATTCAATTCTGATGTTTTACACATGATCAGAGAAAGGTAAATGTCCAAGGAAGTCCCTTCACCAAAGTAAACTTCACAGAATGACCAATTTGTTAATGTTCTTGAAAGAATGTCGTTTTAAGTGTGATGCACTAACAGAAGGAATTGGTTTTTACAGAGAAAATGAAACAAGGCATCCCTTGTGAATGGGCCAACACCCATTCTCACTCACCTTGCTTCGGATCTTGTTTTGAGGAGGTAATGTCATGGCAGATTTGTGGTTCGGCTTCTATGCTGATTCAAGCTTCAGGTGCTGGAAAATAATATGATGTTCCAATTGATTTTGATCTATTAGGATAAACTGTATTGGATCCCAAAGGTTGACCTCCTCTGGCAGATTTAACATTTGCACGAAATGATCCATAAATATTTCCTTTCCTGTAATTTGTTTTGAAAAAAAGATGATCAATCATTTAAACTCATGATCATCTTTTTGGAGAGTTTTTTGACAACTTTACTTACGGTGCATATTCACAAACATAAAATGGAACAGGAGATTGAGGTAATGATGCCCCATCAATATTTGTACACGAAACAGTGGCACATCCAACATGAGTAGTTGACTCCCATACTACCTCTGTGATTGTTGAAGTATTTTGACAAGATGTAAGTTTTCAGGAGACATGACATTGAGGACAAAATGATGAGAAATAACTGACGTGTGAAATGTGAAAACTGAGGAGAAGCTGGATCATATGAATCCTTCTCCTGTGGTCCTTCTACCCATGCTATAACAGTATCTTCAGCCGATTCTTGACCTGCCGCAATATTCTATATGAAAAATCCATTGAGTTAATTTGTTTCGAGAATCACGATTGACAGATCAAGATGAAAGTTACCTCTCCGCTTGGATTATTTGGGGTATGCCTCCATCGACATGAATTTGCAACTCCTTGTGCTTGATTTGCAAGACTAGAATCCCACTTTAAATCAGGAGCTCCATACCTAGATCTGTATAAATTATGACCATCTAGCCATCTTTTGGAGCAAACAATTAAAAATATGATATAAGCATCATACGAGTACCGATTATAAATATTGAAAATCACGTACTCCCTCATATCGCCTGTTCCTCGTTGAGAGGTAGATTCTGTGACATCGTCGACTGTTCTGGTAGGTTGAGCTGATTCAGTAGGTCTTGCAGTATCACTACTGTCTGGCGATTCAGGTAAATCACTTGTTGTGGTTGTGGTTGTGGTTGTTCCCTTGTTTCCGGATGGGCTACTGGAGACAGACGTGGATCCTGATGGTCCATCGCCACTTGGTGCACGGGATGGGTCGTTCCCACTCGGCGCGCTTGATGAGTCATCTTGACTCGACGTGCGCGATGGCCCGTTGCCACTTGGTGCGATCGATGGGTCGTTCCCACTTGGTGCGCTTGATGAGCCATCTTGACTCGATGCGCGCGATGGCCCGTTGCCACTTGGTGCGATCGATGGGTCGTTGCCACTCGTTGCACTCGATGGGATATTTCCACTCGTTGCACTTGATGGCACATCACCACTTGTTGCACTTGATGGCACATCTCCACTCGGTACGCTTGATGGGTTATTGCCACTCGGTGCGCGGGATGGATCATTTTCACTCGAGGCGCTCGATGACCCATAGCCGCTCGGTGTTCTGGATGGCCCATTGTTGTTCGGTGAGCTTGATGGGCCCGAGAAGTCGTTTGGCGGAACAGGGTTGTAATATTGACCCTGAGAAGTGGTGTGCTTCGATGTTTGAGGAATTTCAGCGCCTTTCGTCGAGCCGTAAGGACCGTTGGTGTCAACATTTGGGGTGATAGTTGATACATCAGGATAACTGTAAGTATAACTCCAGAGTGCAGAGCTTGCTTGAGAGATACCTCCGCCAACTGGCATGTTCCCGAAAGTGGCTGTAGTAATAGTCGTCACTCCATCTACTGTCTCAGAATGCCATGATGACTCCCAAAGGGTATAATTCCCCTCAGAAACTGTTTGATGTCTAACGCGTAGATTTCTTGTTTTGTAAATTGAAGAGAGTGCCCGACTGTTAGCTTGGAATGCGAGGATTTCAAATCCTATAAGGATACAGATCAATAAGTTAAAGCGGTTTCTCAACATCTGATTGCCGCTAATAAATACTAAGAAATCTTATCCGCTGTGCTGATAATGAACAGGTTTTTGAGAGAGCGAAAACACGCCGACAAGTTCGTGGCAGATCGATCTCCTTTATCTGGCTGTGAATCCGTTGAGAGAATTTCGAAAGGTGAATAATGGAATCGACGACAAAAAGATATAGGGAAATGACAGAGGGAAAATGGAATACGAAAATAAAATAAAATAACAAAAACGACGAAATAGATTGTAAGGAAACAAGGAAGTGAATTGATTGCCACCTTGATAATATAAAGTCAATCATAAATCAAAAAAACATCTTTAAAGGAGACTCAATGTGCGGCAGACCAAAACAAAAAGCAGCGGAATGACAGGCCTTGCATCTTGATATAAAGTTATAACTGAGTTGAATGTCTTATGACCTGGTTCACCTCGATCTCGATCAAGTCATACTTCCACGAGAAGTGTATTCACGAGCGCTTTCAGTCTCATTGTGGCAAGTCATGAAAGTGTCCCGCATGGTTTGTTTCGAGGACTTTTGAGATGTTTCAAGTATGTATACGAGTGAGACTTGAGAATGACTTGAGGGGTTGTTTTCAAGGCGTCGAAGCAGGTGCCGCCCAAACCAATGCCTGATAAACAATTTCGAGGAAACCCTTCCTCGCTCAAACAGATACTGCGGTAAAGTGCTTTGTTCTCAGTCTTTAAGAAATAAATGAAGGTCTCTTTGCCGGTGATCACACTGCCACACACTCAATTCAAGTTACATTCGCCAACTAACATTGACTCGCTGAAAACGGGCTTTTGTGAACACACCTTGGATCGAGGTGAGCTGATGGCACCCGTATACGTTGATAATCGCCTGATCGCAGAAGAAATGAACTCGCCACAAATCTCGATGTACATAGTCAACCAGAACTTTGGCCGAATTGGCTCATTCTTCATGTGCTCCGTTCCCTGGAAATATATGTGAGGGATAAGGCAGAAGTTCGCACAATCCAGCCGCATATATCCAAGGGTGTAAAGGCTCATTGATTGTGGACCTCAAATGAGCTCGCACAGATCACGTTCCATCGCGGGATCGACCAGCGATGTTATGAAGATGTAGCGTTCATGATAAGGTACTTTCGAGATCAACAGGCTTTAAAGAAAATCGAATGTGAAAAGCAAACAGATAAGACACACGAGCCTGTGGGCGGACACTTGGCTTTTTAAAGGGCATTTCTATAGACTGGTGAACATGACTGGACAAAATCAGTAAACGATGATGAATTGAATAAAGAAATTTGGAAAGACCGGGCGGGAAACAAAGCCACTGAGACCAGAGTGATGGTTGGATGTTGACAGTTGAATAATCAATTGCTGGCACATATCCATGTTACACGCAGGACATCTGAAATGCCTGTAAAATGTAAAAAGCCTGTAAAGCCATAGTAAAACCTATCAAACGAACCACAAGTGAACCGATATCGAGCTCTCCATATATATTTTGAAACAACGCCGTCCCTTCTGCCGTCTCATCCAACACCTCCATCACATCCGATTCATCCACCTCATCCTCCACCATGCTCATCACCCGACCTCCATATCCGTGCTGCTTTACACGGATAAAATGTCGCCATTCCACTTCCGATGGCCACTTTAGCTGGTTAGTTTTCACTCTTCAACCTTTTCCTTCCTCACAATCCTTTTTTCTCATTATATGATGATTGGAGGCATTTGGCTGTAGGCCGCCTTTTCTACCCGTTTTGAACTTGGAGTCATTTTTTTATTTGACTTCCAATCTAAATATGTTAGACTTGGCAGCACTGACGAAAACCATTCCGCTACCTTTTACCGCCTGTCTGACTCTTACTGTTTCATTTTAATCAATTTCATACCTCGTAACTTTTTGAATCTTGAAGCTGACTTTGACCTTTTCTTTCCTTGTAAAGGTACCCTTGCCTATTTCAACATCCACGCTCGCAACCATTTTTTTTTCTTGTAACCTCTTCATCCCATCTTGTACTTCTCCCTCATGATTTGCAATAATCATATTGCACACTGTGCTCCTTATTCATAAAGAAAGAGACATAGAGACATGTTTGCTTGAAATTCTTGTCTACTAGTGAGCAACCGTGTGAGCCATCTGATTACGCTGATTATTTACGTGCAGTCTGCCAAGCCTGGAAACATGAGCTTCAAAGAAGACTTGATCATGAGTTTCCTCCTCAATACTGAGCAACGCTCGCGATTCAGAAAGTGCTCACCCAAAATGTACTAAGGGAAGTTCGCGTTTTCACAACCGATTTGTTGGCTCACAGTGCTTGAATGACATGATGATTAAGTAGCACAATAAGTTAGAAAATCAAGTTTTCAATTCCAAGATCAACATTTCCAAAAACATCTTGAACCAAAAGACCCTGCCTGATATCTTCTCAAAGCACGAAATGAGTCCATACCGTCCATAAAGAAAAGGACGACCAAATTGAAAAATGCTTCATAAAAACCCATCAAAGATCAACCCACTGATCAATGAATAGATTTCCTACAATCTTCTCATACATCCCTTAGGCTTCATCCATCCATTAATCAAACCTTCATCGCATTCCAAAAAAACCAAAAACCAAAAAAAAATCCATTTAACTCATCTTCACTTCACCAAATCATAAAAAAGTACACCAATTAGTTTTTTTTCATATTTGCTTAAGTACACATCTTCTTTAAATCTTCAAATCTTAAAATCTTAAAACCTTCAAATCCTAAAATCCTAAAATTCACTTTTTTTTAAAACATATCAATTAATTTCTGCTATTTATAACGGGAACTACTAAAACCAGCCCGCTTTAAAACCTGCGACCGCCCGCTTTTGTTGACTATCACATATCTGTTGACAGCTTTTGACACCTCAGAGAGCCGGAACTCTCATCAACTTTCACTCGAAGGAATCAGCTGATATTGGACTGAACTGTAGTTCAGACCCGAGGTACTTATTCTATTCCTTGTCTGAATTCAATTGAAATGTAATCAAATAGAAACCGGGCGGTCTTGACTCTTGTTAATTCTTGAACCAATTGTTCTTGTATTTCAAAACACGAATTCAGGAGAGAGAGATAGTAAACAATCGGGAATCGATCAAGTCAACAGAGCATGTAGAGGTATGTATGTAGTTACAATCAATGATGTGATCAATCATCCGTAGTGGAAGAAAGGTCCGGGAACATTGCAACACCATATGATTGACTCTCTTTGAGAGTTTCTAAAACTTTTGGATTTGAGAGAGGTAAATTGAGGTCTTCAGAGATCAATTGCATCGCAACCTCAGGTAACAAAACTTGTCAAATGAAGAAATTGGCAGACAGAGGAGCAGTTCTGGTATCATCGAGTTTGAATCTAGGCAAGGAAGTTGTGATGAAAACTTTTTCAAGTGTACTTAAGATGACTTCGAGTCCGGCCATCCCATAACTATGGTATAGAGTTTGATTAGAAAACGAGTTGTTTTTGGAGTGAAACTTAGTGACTCACTATCCTGGTTGTTCAATCTCAAACTGATTGAATTGATTCATGATGGAGTTTCTGCTGGGACCAGCTTGAGTCCATGTAGCAATGGCTGGATCATAGAACTGCGAGTCTCGGTTGTTCACAATCTTGAGTAGATGTTCTTGATAAGCCTGTACACGTCTAAAAGGATGGGGTTTAGCATAGAGATACATGTGTATTCAGAAGTGGATGCGACATACCGGCATAAGACTTTTGAATCAAATGAAGTCGGCCAGCCGCGTTCTTTTGCCAGGGGAATTAAGTCCCGTTCAAGCTTGTGCAGCTGACAGGTAGAAGCTATCTCCCAAAACTGCAATACATGATGTCAGACAGGCCCAAGTGAGGCTAGCAAGAGCTATTAGAGAGTCGAACAAAGATTAACTTACTGGAAGATCAACTGCCTCCGGGTTACCAGGAAGAGGTCTTTTCTTAGCGTGCGGCTTGGCAAGATGAAACTGAAGCTGTTCTTGAAACTTCTTGGAAGGTTGCTTGGGGAGTGGGTCGTCACATAATGGACATTTGCGTTCATCTATGTCGGATTGATCATCAGAATCATCAGAATCATCAAGGTCCACAAGAGAAGAATCGAGCAGATCGAATACACTGCTGGTTGAAGCAGCTGCAGGGATGTCTTGCTCATTCTCATCATCGAGAGATTTTTCTTCATTGGTGAGTTGTTGAGGGCGGGGGCATCGATTGGCTTGATGCCCTGTCTGATTGCATTGACTACACTTGGAAGTCTTTGTGACGGTCAGACGAGGGAGCTCAGGCATTGGATGTCGAGAGGCAGCTTGACGTTGAGCAGCGGTACAGTTGTTTGCTTTGTGTCCGTTTCCACCACACTGGCCGCATTTGTATGATCGTTTGTTTTGCTTTTCCAAAACATTGAAGTCAGATTGGTACCGTGCTGTTGAAGACTTTGAGCGTCTTTTTTGGGCGTCAAGTTTTGGGCGTCCTCGGCCATTTGATCTGACATCTGGATTAGTTATCATGACAAGGGCGAACCGATTTGACTCAAGTTGTTTGATCTCGCTGTGTATCTTGCGAAGCTGATGCTCAGGAAGGTCAGACAATACCTCGATTTTTCTTTTCATCGAGGACCTCAAATCATCGAATGTAGCCGGTGTAAGATCAAGGCCCAACTTCCACTGATCATGGATCTGATCAATTGTAAGAATACCACCGTTGTTCAACATTTCAGCTAGCTCATGTGAGCAAGGCATTCCCCAAGCACCACGGAACGAGCCGGTACATGGACGTAAACCGCAGTCAGGTATGAGGACAAATTGTTCTTTAAGCTTCAGAAGTGCAAAATTTGAGAGCTTGTTTTGAACGGTTCAAAAACTATCAGGAAGTCCGTTGATTGACTTGTTCGTCTCGATTCCTTCCAGGCCCATATACTCGCTGATCTGATGCTCCAGAGCGTGTGCGATAGAGTTGAAACATGATAGAAAATCTTGATTCCCACCAGTGATAAACAACTTGATGTGGTAATGTGATCCTTCAACTCTTGATGTACTCGAATTGCCAAAGTGGACTTGCTTTGATGTAAACATCACCACAAACTTTTGAGTGAGCTTGAGCCACGTATTGTTAAGATAGTCGTAGAAGTGATGCTTCTTTGCAATTGCACTGACCACAGAGAGGTTTTCATCGTATTCGGTTTGGTTTGTCAAGGAACAAAATACATTCCATGCCTTCATGAATGCATCCCATTCATCTGTGTCCACCTTGCCTTGTGGTGTCTTCACGGAACTTCTACAGTTCTTGAGTAGATTCTGGTTGATGTGCCAGATACATAGCAGGTGATGGGAGTCAGGAAATACAGTCTCGATGGCTTTGATTAACGCCCATTCGCGGTCGGTGAAGAAAGTCAAGGGTAGAACTGGGTTATCGCTGTTGAATATAACCTCCCGGAGCTGGGTGAGAGCCCACTGGTAGGACTCTTCACATTCATTTGACATGAAAACAAGAGCAACAGTGAAAGACCGATGGGTGTTTGTTGTTCCAACAACGTGGAGCAAGGGAAAATTGAACCAGTTGGTCTTGTATGTACTATCTAATCCAAGGACCGTTGGAAAGTGTTGTCCAAGCCGTATCCCATCAGGACTTGCAAAAAAAAAGTTTAGAACCTTGCCATTCAAGTCGGTCTTTGTACGAGATGCCCAATCCTTCTTTTTTATAAGGTCCATGAGCCCCTGCATAGGAGTTCTACCTTTCAACCATTGATTACGGTGCTGAGCGCGCACATTGTTGATATCACGAATGAGAGGGGGTGGTCCTGAGCTTGAGCGAGCTAGAAGTTGTCTGATTTGTCGAGGTCGTAATCCAGCATCGGAGAGAATACAAATCTCTTTCTTCTGTTCGCGGGTCAGTTTGCGGTATTGAGCCAGGTTCTCTGCAATGATGAAAGGTTCGTGATTATGATGATGACTTGCACCTTCATCTGTCTTATTCATTGTAACTTTCCATGTCTGTGTACGTGACCAGAAGTTCAGTGACACAGCATATTGACATTCTGCCTTGATTGTGGATGTAGTACGAAGAGTAGCAGTCGAGATGTGTTTGCCGGCACGTGAGCATGAAAGATAGATGCGAACAGTTTTCTTGAACTCCGTTTTGTGACTAGTTACTGCAAGTGAATAGCCCTGGTGTCGTGCCACTGCTCGAAGGTACATCAATCCATGATGCATTGAATGGAATTGCTTTCCAACAATCGGGTTTTGAAGCAAGCGAGCTGGAGCAGCACCTACAATACATGTGATGAGCTGAGTGTTGAACCACAGAGATATTATTATTAGATTGGACTGACCTTCAATAGGAAAATCAGGATCTCTTGTAAACTTTTCATCAGCATTCAAGGTTTCATCCAAGCTATCATCACTGTCATTCTCATCGTCTTCGACATTCTTGTCTTTTTGTCCAGACTCATTTACAGTGCTTGTCATCTCGGTTTCTGGAATCTCATCTTCCTCTAATTCCCAGTCCCCATCGGGATCTGCATGGGTTACTTGATGATGTTGATCATGGTCGTTTTGGCTGTCATTGTTGAGATCATGAGTAACATGGCGGATGACTTCTGGAGGAGGAGGAGGATTTCGAGGTAAGAATTCGTGAGCTGATCTGTTCATTGGAGTGTGCGGATAGGTGTACATATGCTGAGAAGGGCTGCAGTAGAGATGTTGTGGTAAGGTCATCGCATTGTCGTGAGTAACATGGTTGGCCACTGGTTGAGGAGGAAGATAGTTTTGAGGCAAGAACTCAGAAGCTGCTACATTCATTTGAGTGTGTGGATAGGTGAACATAGGGTACGGATGTTGTTGAACAGGAAGGTTGGGTGCGTAGCGTGCGTAGCTAGTCATGGGAGGATGAACTTCAACTGGTCCTTGATTAATGCTGAAAGGGATGGATGCGCAAGGTGACAAGGGAGGGGGGCCTTGATGGGGCCAAAGATTTGCTGGATAAGTCCCAACAAGTGGTGGGTAGACGGTGTGATTGGGAGAAATCACATTTCCCTGATAGGCTACTTGGTGATTTGCCAATGTAACTGGGTGAAAGCCAAAATTTGCGGGGTACTGATAAAATGGAGGTGCATTACTATCGGGGTTATTGTACGGACTTTCAGAAGCTGGATTGTGTTGGTGTCTGTGGGAAGATTCAGGCATGCTGGTTAGGTTGAAAGGCAGATAGTTTTGCTCACTCCTCCTTCTTGTGAGCAAGAGGGAGGAACTTATAACTTGTAAGTTTGCCTCTCACTTGTAAAATTCCTTGAGGAATAGTGTATGTGATTTCAATAAGTTTACTTGACCGCCCGCTTTATGTCAGCTTTATTTCATAGAAGTCTCGAGTGAGAGTTGATGAGAAGTCCGGCTCTCTGAGGTGTCAAAAGCTGTCAACAGACATGTGATAGTCAACAAAAGCGGGCGGTTGCAGGTTTTAAAGCGGGCTGGTTTTAGTAGTTCCCTTTATAACACACAAACACACACACACAAAAAAAGAAAAAAAGAAAACTAAAAAAAAGAAAAAGATATATAAAACAAATCACAACAATGAAATTAAGAGGGAAAAAATCAATACAACATCCCAAAAAAGAAAGAAAAAAAAAAAGTCAAAAGATCCATCACAAGAAACCAAATCCAATAAATGTTCCAAATCAAATCAAAAAAAAAAAAGAATCCACCCACATAATCCAAACCCACCTACCCCAAAGACAAGACGCCCACCAAGTTCACCAAGCAGATCCCATCCCTTCTCCATTCCCCTCTCTTTCTCCAGCTTCAATACCAACCTGCATCCTACCCGAACTTCTCCTACTTCTAATCTCATCATCATCCAACCTATTCCTACCAACAGCAGTAGTCCCACAACTTCCATCCCAAGAAACTCTCTTAGAATCAGCCGATTCTAATCTCGAAATCTTTGATTTCATCATCCCATTTAAAAACTCTAGTTGGTTAACTCTTTGTTTGAGTCGATAGACTTCTTCATCTCTTACATCTTTTCGACCATGAAGATGATCTTCATCAAACGAAGGTGGTGTTAAAGGTTTCAAAACCAATGGATTCATTCGACGGTTCAGCTCTAGGGGTGTTGAATGATACGATTCGTTATCAGATGATTTTGATGAACTGATCGATGATGTTCGTTTGGAAACCAATTGATGTTGAGAATGTAATGGATAAGATGATAAAATACTTGATGAAGACGATGAGACTCGAGTTTTAGGTTGAGGTGATTGATAAGCTTCTCGAGCACTTTCTTCAAATGAGATTGGAGGTCCTGAGAATCGTGATGGTGATTGAGTTTCATTGAATGTCCTACTGACTAATTGTGATAAAGGTGGAAGTCTGGTTCTTGGTCTGCCTCGTTCGTTTGACGAGGATGATGAAGACGAACACGAAACTGGGGTTTGGTGAAGATCTACTGAAAATGATCTTCCTAATGGTGACGTAATAGGCTACAAAACGTTCAAAGCAAAAAACCGGTTAGATTTGAATGTAGTTTAAAAATAGAAACTGGTGAAAAAGATGACATACTGAAAGGTTCAGGTTCGAATTAATTGATAATTGATTCAAATTAGGCACTTTAAGATGACTCATCACTTCATTTCGATCATTCAGTTTTGACTGTTGTTGATGATGATGAAATTCTTCACGCGAACTTGGTTCTCGATCAAACTGAAGATCAGAAGTAGAACCTAAACTATTCCTAATATGATTCTTATGAGTCTGATTAGACTTAAAGTTATTCAAACTAAGACTACGAATCGAAGTTAACGTGTTGGGTTGTTGATCATCTTGGATTAAGATGGATTGAAAATGATTAGGTTGAGTTGGTTTTCCATTCAAGATTCGTTTAGAAATCGAAATCGGTTCGATAGGTAAGGTTTCTTTTCTTCTTTTAGATCCAATCGAATGATACAAAACCCGATCATCATGGTTCACATTCGATTCATCTTTCACGGTTGTAGAATGATAATAGTTTGGATGAATTTGTGAATCTAAATCTAACACTCCACCTGGTTCACTTTTCCTTGAATTGAGAAATGATCTATTGATTTGATTTTCTTGTAAATCTTTTGAAGTGGATTGAAACGAATGATCTAATTCATCACTATGATAATGTTCATTTAATGAGATAGGTGATGATTCGGATTTGATGTCATCCATTGATAGATTTCCATTAGGAGTAGATTGAATTAAAGTTAATGGATGACTCAAGAGTTTAATAGACTTTTGTGATTTTGATTTAGGATTAGATGAAGTGATTGATTTATTAGTTTTTGAATGAAGATGATTTACTTCTCGATCGATAGCTTTGATTCGATGACGTTGTTTGATAACATCAGTTTTGAGTGAGATCGGTCTAGGTCTTCCTTTCATCTTTTGAAATAATGCACATGCATTACAAAGTGTCGCTCCTGATTCATCTCTACGCCAAAGTGGTGTTGTCTGTGAAGAAACACGAAATGGAAATGGATTAGTGATCTTGATTTGTAGATGTGGTGTTGAAAGAGATTGACTCAACTTGAGTAGAACAATTTGCACAAGTTGGAATTGAAACTGGTATTGAAGATGACAAATGATCTAAAGTTAAACCAGTTGGAGTTGAGATGATCTTATTTTGATGATGGTTGATAGTAGTAGTAGTAGTGGTAGTAATAGGTTGATTTAAGATGTTAATTGGATGATAAGACATGAATGAAGAAGAAGAAGATATCAAATGTGAAGAAGAAAGTAGTATAAGAGTATAGATTTTTAGAAGATGATTTCTAGAAGTGGTGAAATGAATTTAGATTTTAGATTTTTTAATTTTACAAAAGACGGATAGACTGAAACAAATTGAGATGACTACTTTATAAACAAAACGAATTATAAAAGAACAAGGCAGCAGATAATTAGCAATGCGTAGTGATGATGATAGACTTGCAAAAAGAAGATAAGTTTGAAGTCAATTTACAGAGTGTTACATAAAAATGATAGAATAGATGAATCCCAATAAATGATCAGGATCAAAAAGTCTAAAGTCTGAAGTATCTGAAGTATCTGAAGTATCCACAGATTAAAAAACAATAATGATCGAAATAGAATTATAGAAATAGAAAAAGTTTGTGAAGGATTGATGGATTGATTAATTACTATCTCCTTGTCTTCTTCTGTTCTTTTATATTTACATAACTCTTTCTTTCTCTCCTTCAACTCTCTTCACTCATTCATGACTCACTCATGACTCACTCACTCACTCAATCGATTGATCTGAAATGCAATCCAATCGAATCGAATCGAGTGATTTGATCAGATTGGATTGGATTGGATTGGTTTCGATTTGATTCGATTGGAATATGGAATTTGATTTGATTTGATTTGATTAGTCTCTTTCTTTCTTAAAACAGTCAAGAGTATAAAAGGTTCTTTTAAAAACTTTGAAAACTTAAATTCATCTAAAGCGTAGCTCACTTCTCCAATCGTAACTCTTCCTCCACGATCTGTCTTAATCTAAATTAATGATTGGCTAAACGAATTCTGATTGAGAAAATCCAAGAAATCTTTTCAACTTTCAAGATCACTTTTTTTGGCATTTTCTTAATCGATCAATATTTCACCTATTTCCAATCATACAACAAAAACTCACCTATCAATCAAATCAATCAATCAATCAATCGGTTTATAATTTCTTTTGATCAAACCAAATCAGATAACATACGTACAAATTACATCAAATTCACTCAAGAACTTTATCATCAAGTGATCATCTCCTGAAAACCAAATGACGCAACCATCGTAAAGTTCTATCATATATTATCAGATATTATCTCTTTGAGAATTTGTTTGAAATGTTCGATTTCTAAACATCAAAACATTACTTTTTGATTTGGTCTACAAATTCAAATCAGGAGAATAGTGACGATTTAGAGTAAACCGATTGGGAATCGGGGGAGAATGGAAGATCGGTCGTCAATTTGAAAGTTGAAATTCCAATTCGAGCTTCAATTGTTGTACACCAGGGGGTAAACTTGCGGCAAGAAAACGGTTTTCGAAACCGTTTTCTTGCCGTCACGGTTTTAAACTACTTGCGTCGTTTCTGAGACGATTTCAGATGGGACCGCACGAATGCGGTTCCCATCACCGTTTTTGGCGGTGCAAGCAAACCGCCTCGGTGACCCCTGGACACGGTCCCTGGAACGTTCTGAGTTACAGCGTAGATTTCACAAAAAGGGAATCGAGCAGCGAGACTTGAACACAGGCTCAAAACTGAGCACAAGCCCGACCCGTGCCTCTTGCCTCTACACCATGCTGACCACAATGGGGAAACCCGTGTGTCATATGATGATTCTTTCGAATTGTCAATCGATTCATAAAACTAAAATTCCTCAATACCTTCATTCTGTTTTTGGAATGTCATCTGATTTTGGTGAAAAAGTATATAATTCTTCTAAAATCTTTACATCCCAAAAAACCAAAAAAAAACAGAGCTTTAATCTAATCCTCAAGCTTGCCTTTTCAATTATGTTTAGTAATTCTATAATGATGATCTTATTAATTGTTTTATTCCTCACATTTCAATCTAAGATTCTTCAAGGTTCGAATATTCATGGTGATCAAGAATCTTAAAAAAGGCAGAAATGAACAGATCGATTGTGAAAAGTCTCTCTTGGACTTTCTTTCAGATCAGTTTTAATTGACTCCCAACCTTATACTGACCTAGACTTTTTTATATCATCTTTTCTTTTTCTTTTTGTACGTATCGCGCTATCAAGAGCTTTGGAACAATTGTGTTATCAGAATGATTGGATGTTCGATGATCCACTCTTAATGGAACAAAGTTGTTCAACTTGTAAGGTCAGTCATGAACGAAAAATTATATATCTCATCATGATCAACATCTTAACAACTTTTTACACTTGATAATTCATCCTATAGATCACATTCGAGTTACGGGAAGGAAATCCAATCACTACGTCAGTACTTGAGTTCAGTTCATTCAAACTCACTGGACAGTTAGTTTTCTTGATCCAATGAGTATATCCATAATGCTTTCTAGTTTTCATGATCTCATGAAGAGAGCAGTCAAGGAAATCCTCAATCAATGCCACTCACATGTATGTTAAGTTTTTGGCCATTGTATAGGTCAAATCATAAATTCATTTGTTTCATACTAATAGTCAGGTTCGTCAAGCTTTCACAGTTAACTGGTAACGTTCATTTAGATAGCTGACCAGCTAACTTCTTTCTCTTGAGGTCTTTGGTAAACTGAGTTTCTGTTTTGATCATGCACTGTTCATATATTGACAGTTTGACACCGATTGCAATCGGTGTCGAACAAACCGCTTCACCACCGCCTCTGCAGCCGTTCTCAAACGGTTGCGAGATGCAGCTCGTTCCAGAAGCGGTCGTGGAACGGTGTCCGAAACGGTTTCGGCGAAACCGGTTCCACACCTTCCTGGGTGGTTCTGGTGACGAAACCTTTGAAATCGTCACAGGAACCGGCCGAGGCCGAGGACCATTACCCCCTGGTGTACTAGGTCTTGATCATTTGAATTGATCATCATGGCCTATAAATATCTACAACTTTGGACATTTTAATTTGTGATACGGGGCCCCTTTCGGTTTACCCGATCATCTTCAACTCGGATCTTATGTTATTCCTACTTGAAGTTCTTCTTATTTATTAAGTTGATCAAAAACTACACCACGGGTCAGCTCTGATATCGATTCGAGGTCATCTGGCCCGATGTCGATTTGATATCGAATCGAGATCGAATCGATATACAAATTGTTGATATCGATTCGATATCGGTCCAATATCAAATCGACATCGGACCCGTTTGGTTCCGTGGGTGATTGACAGGCCCTGAGACCTTGACCAATAGAATCAAACCAATTGATTTGTATTGAGGATTGGGAGGGATTGGGTCAAGAGAGGGTGGCTGGGTGGCACTGGCCAGTCTCTTTGAGCGCGCCTAACCAGGTGCTTTCAACGGGTTATGGTAAAAGCATATCTAAAACCAATCGATTGATTTCATGTAAGGGTAAATTCAGATTTGGTATATATAAACCATTATTTTGTTTTGTTTGAGAAATGGAACTATTGGTAAAGAAAAAGATCAATGGCTTTTGAAGTCTTAATGTGAAATTGAAACAGGTGAAATTGGTACAAACATTCTTTTTTTCTTTTTCTACTTAGATTTGGTTGGTTGACTTTTAGGTATTACTATGTACACATATGAACATAAGATAGGGAATGAAAGTGATAGAAAAATGAACAATAAAATTGCTAGAAAAACCTCGCAATCGCTAGCTCTGCGGTTTAAACCACTGACTTTCAAAATAAGCCGGGGTTCAGAGACATACTCTGAGCTGTCCACTCATTCTCGTTGGAAATTTCCAGATCAGGTTCTTGCACTTGAATAGTTTTGAATGTACGCTTTCCGTCAAATAGTCTGCTGTCGGTTTGTAAGACGTACTGGTAATATCTAGAGTAGCGAGCATATAGGTTAGTCAAGAGCCTCGCAGCACATGAGAAAGAACGACTAACTCTTCTCTTTCAGCACTGTTGGAAGTTTCTAGCCAGAATAGCCAGCTATGTCATTGCACAATGGAAGGCTTTCAGTCCTTTGGGATTGGGTGTCAACTCAATTCAGGCTGAGCGGATGGTTGATCATGCTCAAAGTCTGAATGGCAAAGAATTCAAGATCGTTTTACAAGCTTCCGTTTTTGTTCTGGAAAATCACATTGACTCCTTATATAGACAGATATGGCTTGACTTGGGCCACATTGCTTCAATGTTATATCAGCCAAAAATTGAAGACATGGAGACATATTGCTTGGAACTCGACAATACAATTGATCACTTTTTGTTTGGAGTGGTCCGGCTCAATGCACAATGGGTGAATAAGCCCAAGTTTCACATCATGAAGCATTTCACAATGTCTATCAGACGCTTTGGTCCGCCATCACTTTTTGCAACAGAATCCTTTGAAAGAATGAACGGAGTCACAAGAGCCTTTTCTGTGCATTCAAATAGACACAACCCTTCAAGAGACATTGCAATATCAGCCAACAACTTCAACGTCCTCAGGCACCTAGTTTCGGGGGGCTTTATCCGCCATCCAGATTATAATTCATGGATTTCACCTGGAGTGAAGGTTCTACTTACCCTGACACAGAATGAAGCTTTGTGTAAAGCACTTGGCTATGACATGGCTTTGTTGGATAGAAATTCTCAACCGAAATACCATGGAAATGCATCTCCTGCAAACAATGTCACCCTTCCAGCACACATTCAAATAACTGATCACACTTTCAATTGGACTCAGAGTCGGGCAAAACCAATCAAATTGGAAAATTTTCAGGTTGTACATGAAGGGACTTTTGTATTGGTATGACAACCCAGTTCACTAGAATTCTGGAGACAGATCAGCTGACCAAGCTACTAACACCCCATTGTAGGTCAGAGATCCGAACCAGCGATTGAAGGTTGCGTTAATAAAAGCCATATGGACCCCAGCTTTTTCAAAAGCCACAAATATGATATTTCATTTAGAGACTTGTACACTTTCTCATTCTCGTGATGCTTTCTATGGAATGAGGGGTTTGAATTTAAGTGGAGAGTCTATCTGGCTTTACCTGAAAGTGAGTACACACACATTGATCATATGCCTGATGAGTGAATAATGATCATTAACTTGTTGCCTTACATTTTGACATAATTAAGGATGTTATCTGTGTTCTTAATGTACAGCACAACTGTTTTGATTCCAGTTGCCAGGTTGTCACTCCAGTCAGGGAGTCACAAGGGCTGAGATATTTGACAAAGTTGGACCCCAAGCTTGAACATGCAAGGAATGGAGCATACATCCTCAATACACTATCACTTCACTCTGCTACAAGCCACCGACAGATGGGAAGTGTTCAGACAAGTATACTAGAGCCGGCGCAAAGGGTTGCAGCCATTGCCTCTGGTATAGCGCTGTGGCAGCAGAAGAAAGTTGCAGAACCGCAGAATAACATTCAGAAACACCCAAAACCAAGAAGAGGATCTAAAGCTGCCAAAAGGGGTCCGCCCAAGTCCATATTACATAATTAGGCATTCCATATTGTTCTCAAGATATAACTCCAGATTATTCTCAAAATATCATTGCAATACAAAATGGAATGCAAAATTATGGAGCTCAGGTGCCAATCTTGTAACTCTTTTGAAATTGATATTGAGGCGGTGGAAACTATTTTTTATTTTTGTATGGTACTCTCAATCAAGAAAATTTGAAGTCTTCTCATTTTATGGTTATAGATTTGTAAACCCTTTTGGTTCACAGATGCTATGAAACATATTTGCTTAATGCAGACCACATTCAATTGATATCCATGTCATCTGGGTTAATATCAATTCTTTCTAAGCGTAATCATGACATAAACTGAGACCACATTGGGTTTGAATGCCATCTTATGCACCAAAGAAAAATTGACCATGATTGAAGTGTTTGTTCACTTCTTCTCCCTATCAGTCAAAGTGTGACTTTGTACTTTTTCAGGTGCACTTGGAATTTATTTCATACAACACTGTTTAAACACGTTAAAATGAGCGGAGACTAATCGACTTAGCATAGACGGCCATCTACATAGTCAGAGCAAAGGAGTATTGATGTCTTAACAATGTAGGTACTTCCTTTTTTGAGCCTTTTGTTCAACTTTGTATTTCAACTGTCATCCTTGGTGAGAAAAGGTCGGTCGCGCGGTTTTGTTCAGGTCGTCTTGCCAAGGTTCGCTATTGGCCCTGGTCGTGGCGGGGCTTGGATGACCAGCTCCAGCAGGTGTGAAGAAGGATTGCACAGCCGCCAGAGCTCTGTCGGCTGGCTGTCAGCGGAGGCTAATCATCTGGTCTCCAATATCGAACCGATATCATCTCGAGATCAATCCGATCTAAAAAATTTGTAGATCGGATCGATATCAGGCCTGTCAAAAAGTTGACCCGTGGTGTATGTATAAATATCTTACTACACCACAGAGGTGTCTTGGCCGGCTACAGGCGGCCATGGCAGGCCAGCCGCAGACCGCCAGCGCTTGCATAGGGGCAGGCCGTCTGCAGATGGCCCTCACGCGAGACGTCTGCCAGGCGCCTGCTGGCCTTGCCTGCAGGCTGCCTGGATTCCGGCTTTCGACAGTCACACTGTAAACATCATTCAACTTCCCCAATTTGGCAGAGGAAAATGATTAATAGTACAGTTTTTCATAAAAGAATCTAATACTGCACACCTGGGCCATTTCACCCACACTACATATGTGCAGCAAGCTAAGTCAATAGTTGTCTATCATGTACATACAGGTCTGCTCAGTTTTTTGCCCATCAGAATAAATAAATCACATGTTATACCACATGTAACTTTTTCGACTTTGAATTTTTTTTCCCAAAAATTCACTACATATAATTCTGTAGCTGCTCAGGCAATATTGTTGAAGCTATGTCTTAGTAACAGAAAGTGTGTTACATGCAGTTGAGTTGATGAGATCACACCAAAACATTGAGTCAGTGTATGTAGTCAATCTTTTGGAAGCTTTTTTCAATCTGAAAGAAGTTACAGCATGTATTACATATGAATAACTTGTCCTGATGAGCAGATAACTGAGCAGAACTGTATGTACATGATAACCACATATTCACTGAGCCTGCTACACATATGTAGTGTGGGTGTTATGGCTCAGGTGTGGAGTGATAGACCATTTTATGACAAATCATACTCCCAATCATTTTTCCCTGCCCACTTGGGGAACCCGAATAATGTCTGCAGTGGATCAGCTGGATCGATGGCCCAGCACATTCACCGGGGTTTTCAGCTCTCAGACACGCTTACCCGGTCTGAATGAGGTATTCGGATTTTAGACGGGGGAATCAGGCTCTCGGGTGGGCTTAGCTCAGCTCAGCAGGGAGCTCAGCACGGGCACACGAGTTTGACAAATCAATTGATTGATTTCACAGTCAAGTCTGGAAACAAGTCTAATACAAGCCTGATAAGAGACAGTGACTACGGAACATGAGAAAGATAAACAAATCTTAAAGAAAGACTCATTCTCATTATTATAATGTGATAATAATAAGAATGTTGGAGGATAAAGATCGAAGTTAAATCACAACCAGAAAGCCGTCTTTTAACCCCACTTAAAGCGTGTTCAGAGGCCAAAAAGCTAAACTCAAATCGATTTCCTCCAATGATTGAGATCACGGCTCCTGTGGTGTTGAGACTTATCATAAACCATGAAAACATCAACATCGAGTCAGGACTCCAATAAATAAATTCAATATATTTGCTTACTCATCAGCCAGTAAGCAGAATGTGATAGACAATTTTTCGCTTGTTGGATAGCTTTTAATAGATCGAACCAACTGACAGTCCAGTAACTTGAACGAGGTGGAAGTGCAGGACCTGGTCATGGGTTTTGGAAGATGACCCAATAGGAATTAGTCTAGATTGTGGATAATATGATGTGAGTCAATTTTGCTTTTCAAGAGTGATAAACGTACAAAAAAACTGACCAAGACAATGTTATATGTATCAAGCAATTTCTTGCCATTGAGAGGGATTACGACTGAAAGGTTGATAATGATTACAAAGAGGTAGCCCAGGTTAGAGTGCAAGGTGGATATATTCAAGATTTGATTGTGTTCCAGACTGCATTCGATTTCGAGCTCATCAGCAGTGAGAGAACTGGATCGTTGTAAGGCTGCCTTCGCTTGTGGGGTATGACGAGCTAGTCTAGGGAAAGCAGCTACATAAAAGACAAGGGTAGCATCATCTATGATGATCAAACTCGAATGAAAAATCTTCAAGACAGGATTAGCAAGACTGAAAACAAACAGGTGACAAAACCGATCATGTAAAGTGAAACTGCCCACCTCCACCTGGAATGGTCTTCATTGAGAGCCAAAGTACAGTACTGACTAGCCCAACATATAAGGGTAAGTATCAAGACACTGATTCTTCTTCATATGCGTTTGTAAAAGAAGCAAGAGGGGGAGAACAGACACTTACTAAAATTGAAGGATAAACCTGTGTGTTTCAAATGTTCTAAAGCGCGATGAGGTTGAATTAAAGCATCTCTTTTTGAATTTGGAGTGGAATAATGAATTTGAAAGTTCTTGCTATGCAGGAGGCCAGGGATGAACGTGTCACATTTGACCTAACCAATCTCTGGAGTTGCGGACTTTGCAACTTGAGTGATGTTCGTGGTTGACGTCTAGTAGCGGTCTCCTGGCCTTTTGCAGGCGGATTTCTGCTTGGATTAGGCCGTGTGAAGGATGCCAGGCGGCAGGCTGCCTATTGTTGGCCTGCAGGCCGCTCCTTATTCTTAATTTTGGAAAGAATTGCTTGCCAGAAGTATGCCCGACTGCAGCCCGCATCTAGATGGCCTGCAGTCGGTCTTGAGGCCAATTTTTGACCTGACCATTCTCAGACAGTGTCAGGCCAAATTCTGACAAAAGACCCTCCCGTGGTGTATCTTTAGTGGGTTTTGATTCATCTACATGAACGAATAAGTATGAATGAACAAATCACTTTGGAGTCCAATTTTCTAAACAAAAGAAGAGTTCATATTGGAAGTTTTTGAATCACTTTCTTCATCATAACCAAAGATTCCACTCTCTCCTTGATCGGATACGGTTACCGGAGTGAAGTGATGAACGGTTTAAGATAATATCTGTTTACTTACATACCAAGCTTACCATGATCCAAATCTCAATCGATCTGGATCGTACCGACTTGAAATTCATGATAATCTTTTTTCAGAGCTTGAATCCAATTCTCATCAATCAGCCTGATTTACCAAATCCTCTCCCTGGTACCTGACTCAGATCGGTCCATGATCTTTGGCCGTACCGTCTGGTCAGTGGTGACAAGAGGATGATCATATCGTACCTACGATCAGAGGCAATGCCAACAATATGCTTCGTCTTGTGGCCTTGATGAATTCGTAAGATTAGAAAAGTGCTTTCCATCAACGAAAACTCACCGAAACATTTCAACGGAGAACCGGAAGGCAGTGTAACTTCATGTACCGGGGCTCTAACGTCATCGATAGCTTGCCTCACTTGAGATGATTGGTTCAAATATCGAATATTGTCCACAGATATCAAGACTACATGACCATCGATCCAACGACAAGGAAACAACATATATCATCATGAGCTTGACCGGAACTAATGATGCTAGACAAAAGCTTTCCCATTTTAGTTGAGCTATTCCATCGTAGAATGAATCCACTGCCAGGTCCATTTTCAAATCAGGATTTTGTCAACAACCGTCACGGGTCTTGCGTTACGGCCTGGCTGGCAAAACGGAATCAACTTCCATTCTACCTTGAACCCGATTGTTGGGTGATAAGCCTTCGTTTCTTGAGTCAACCGCTGGTCAAGAAGGATGTAGCAGGATCACTTCGAGTCCCTCATACGTCACCACCCATGAGTTATTGCCGCTCGGTTTGGTGATTGAAAGCTGAGGATTCGGAAGCTACTCAGAATCATCTACTCGTGACAAAAGTGGATGGTTGCTTCTAATTCTATACTTACCTTACTAGTTCCACCATGGCACTCACTGAGCTCGGGCGGCTAATGTTCCTATCAGTTGGAATTATAACGTTCACTGAATCTTTCGTTGGTGAATCCTATATAAACCAAGCCTGTTCTTACCTCACAATCTTTCTTCTCCAGTCTTTTCTCATCCATTTTTATTCATTCAAATCAATACCTCAATCAGCATTCTTTCTTGCCTTCTAGCACTAATACCTAAAAACTTTTATCACAATCTTTCGCATTCAACTTGAAATCCCTAGCCTTGTTCATCGTTCATTCCAACCACAACTGATTCTGTCCTTATACTGCAGTCCTCATCATCATTGAATTCGAGGCCTCTACATCGTTCTTTCGCTAATTCTATCATCGAATAACCTTTCGATAACTTATAATCAAGACGTATTTCACGTCACGTTCTATTAATCGCTAACTTTGCCTTTCAAAAAATCTGTAAGCTCCTTCAAACGTTTCACTTGAATTGTGGTGGCTCGGTATTATTTTGATTTACTACTGAAGAAAGAATGTCTCTGACTCAAGTCTTTTTTCGTTTTGATCAGGTTACCTTTTAACCTTTAACTTTTAACGTTCTGTTACTTATTGCTTATCAGCCAAAAAAAATCTAATACCGCAATCATGAACAATCTATCCACGTTTTTCTTTCAAAACCTAGACCCAGTAGCTGGAAATTTCAATGAACAAAGTCTTTCGAATGCCGAGGTTTCCAAATCTGATTCATCCAATGGTCTTCGATCATTGTCTAGACCAGTAGAAGAAACGACTATCGACCCATCTGTGCTTAATACTTTGGGCACCGAAGAGGTAGACTTTTTCAATAAGTTTCTCGGCTTCACTACTACCCCGAGTGTTGTTCCCAACGATCCTCAAGTGGACTTATTGAATCAAATTCTCGGTATGCCAACAACTGCATCGGCTGAATCACCACCATTGATTCAGAACCCCGATAACTTGGACTACTTGTTTGGCGATGAAGCTGAAGACTCTAACACTAGCAATTCTTCATCCTTGGATTTAGATCAGTCTGAGGTAAGTCAAGAGGTAGAAAGCAAGGCACCGGAACTTTACCGATCCACTTCCTCCTCTACACCTGAATTTCATGGCGACCATTCTAGCGAGTTGTCCAGCGCTCCGGCCAACAGTTTTAAAGATCATCAACATCAACAATACAACATACCACCACTTCAAGTCTTTACTCGACCCTTAGGTATGGAGGATGATCCTTTGATTGAGCATTCACCACGATTGAGTCAGATGATGAGGTATCCCGATGAGATTCCAATCGTCACCCTTGGAAGAGGAAAGAAGAACACGAGGAGTTTGATCGAGATGAGTGAAGGAGAAATGGAAGAAGCTTTACATGGTTTAAATCCATCTCAAAGTCGTCAAGCTAAACAGCAACAAGCCATCAAGGAATGGAATGGTGCTTGTCAATCTGCTTTAACTAATGAGATACCACAACATCAAGATTGGAACTCGAAGAACAAACTTCATCTGACTGTTAACACCGCTCCTGATCACCAAAGCCAACTCGACCATCAATCCTTTAACAATTCTATCCGCCAACAATATTCTTTGTCCGGGAATGCGAACCGTGTCATGGAAGGTGTTATGATGGCTCCTCCCAGATCGGCTCCTCCAGAAATCCGTCATCACACTTATAACTATCTTCCCAATCAACACAATGGAATCGACCATCCTAATGTCACTTTAGCTTTACCTACCCCTCCATTAAGTGCTGGGATCCACTCAAACTCTAATCACGGATTCGATTTCTCTAGTTACGGAAGACTCAGTGCACCTGGCTATATGGGACCAAATAGCTTACCACTGACTCGATCGATGAGCGACTATGGAGCAGTCCCGATGGCTAACCTTAAATCTCCTTCTAATTATCTCAACGTTAATCATCAATATCTTCAAATGCAACCAAACCAGAAACGAGAGTTTGAGAAATCGAGCTTTGGACAAGCCGCTCATCTTAATAATTCACTTGCTTTACCTACACCACCTTTGAGTGCTGGATTGAGTTCGGGTACTAGTTTAGATTTTTTTGATTTCTCTAATCATTCGATCCAAGGCTCACTTTCACACTTAGGTACCAACCATGATGTACATGTTAATATGGCGACCACTAGTAATCCAAGCTCAGTTCCAAGTCAATCAAGCTTTCAAACTTACCCTACTTTACCTTTACGATCGAATATTAATAATCCTTTATCAGGTCAATTTAAAGTACAAGAAAACCAAAGTCGAACTCGAACGATTTCATTTGGATTAGAAGAAAACCCAAGTAAAAGAAGATCGATTGATCCGAACCAACGAACCGATTTACAACAAGAAAACCTAAGTACTCAAATCGCCTTGAAACCTAAACTGATAGGATCCAGATTAAAACCCGGACCGAAAGCGAAATCGACCATCGTTCAACATCCTCCTATCCAAGCCCAATGTAAACTTTCGAACAATGGAGTCTCTGAGATCGGATCGTTACCTAAAGATGTGATCAGATGTTTGTATAACCATTTAGATCAGATGGGTGAAGATGGAAAGATGATTAAGAATTATGTGTGTCAGATTGAAGGATGTGGTAGGGTGTTTCCTAGAAAGACGGCTATTGAGAGTCATATTCAAACTCATTTGGAAGACAAACCGTTTGTTTGTCCAGTACTGAATTGGTTTGTGATTGTTTCTTTCATTGGGGTTTTTTTTCGGTCTTGGATTGAAATCCATTTCGTGTTCTGATCTGATTTGGTTTTGGTTTGGCTAGTAATGCTGCTTTTGTTAGACAACATGATTTACGTCGTCATGAACATATTCATTCTGGAAATAAACCTTTCAGATGTGAATGGTAAGTAATTCCAAAAAAACTCAACTTCATTTAAAGCGAAAACAAGTTTTTTTTTGCTGATGATGGTTCTTTTTTTTTGATGATTTAAATAGTAACAAAGGATTTGCAAGAGGTGATGCTTTAATGAGACATCGTCAAAGAGGAATCTGTATTGGTAGTACAATCCCTAGACGTTGTTGATTGATGATTCTTTATTTTGTTTGACTTTTTGTTTTTGTTTTTTCTTGATGATTTGATACTTTTTTTTTTGATCAATTATCTACTTCTTGATTTGATTTGTTTACTTTAAGATCTTGATCTTATCTACAATTTCTTTTTTTTTCTTTTATTTATCTGATTCTGATCATTGGATTTCGTCTTTCTTATCTGATTTTAGTTGGTTTCTATGCATCTCATCTAAAATTTCAATTTGTCGTTTTTGTTTCCTTATTTGATTTTGAGATTTAATGATAAGTTTTTCTATCTTTATTTCATCATTAAAATCTATTGAACTTTTTCTCTTTTTCTTTATCGATGGATCATGTTGATCTTATCTTACAATTTAACTTTTTTTTTAAAAGATCTTAATTTTATGTTTTTTGTTTCTTTATTGGTTTATCTTTTCTTGCTTGAAATTTCAATTCACCGAATTTAATTTCATCTTTTTGATTTTTTTTCAATCTTTACGTTTGTTTGATATCACTTTCTATAATTCTTTTGAATGATAATATAGATTTATGATTCCTGGATTTTTCTCTTACATTTACCTTTTCAACAAATCTTTGGTTTTGAGAATTGATCAATTTAAGTCTTGATCCAATTATATGATTTGATTGAAAATGAGAGTAATAAAGAGAAAAGGGATGCTCAGAAAGGAATGATCAAGTCATGTGAAGATCAAGATTAATTCGTTAGTTGCATTTTGAAAGAATGAACTCGTTTTTTGTGACATGAGAAAGGTGATTTCAAGTAGACGGTGGAGACTTTTTAAAAACAAATTCAAGTAGGTCACTTCTTCCAGTGCATGTCATTTCCAGGCTTGATGAAGAGCAGGCCAGTAAGCTCCAACAAATGAAGGCTCCAGCTGATGAGGTTTTCAAATGTCTTTCAGGTATGTGACATTATCTATACAACAGTCATATCAATTCCAACACAAAAAGACTTCATCTTTGTCGCACTGAAAAGACGAGTAAATTGATACATATATTTGTTCCCTGACCACCAGGCTCGCGATGAATGTAATCTAGGAGGATATTGTTTAAATGAAATATCTCTGACATGGTTCTGTGGTGCTTTTACCCTCACAATCTTGACAATACATTTACGCGGTGTTGGAGACTTTGCTATTGAAAGCTAGTGATCTGAATCCTAAATCAATCGATGAAAAGTATCAATTTCACCTTCCAGTCATACCGGTCCCCCATGCTGTTCAGCTCAAAACTTTGGAAGAAATGCCTATTTTCAAGACGCTAGCAATTATTGATCAAACCATTCATTTTTTTGGTCGAAGGTATCTTAGAGCATGCAAAACTCGTGTGCCAGCGTATCCCACGAAGCTCCAGGGTATGCCTGATTCCTCACATGGAGGGAAGGATATATGTAGCCAAGGCATCACAAGAGCTTAGTTTCTGGTTGAACTTGTGTCACAGAAAACTAATCTTGATTCTATGCGTCCATCAGAATAAACAACATGTCGGGGAGGTATCTAATCTTCATCCTCTCCGAGAAACCACAAACTCAACAATTCTAATGATGACATCTGGAGAGTGCTTGATGAGGAGAAGCACATCACACAAAAAGGATGTCTTGGCATCTTCCATTCTAAGACTTAAAATGAATCAAAATGCACCTGCGCTACATAAATGATTGCACTGCCGCAGCCGGATTTCACAGACGGAAGGACATTAAATTGAACTGTGTTTTCTGAAACTGTATTTCTCTCGAGGACTTGTTGACCATCTTCATTTCCAAATTTATGAATTGGTCAACAGAAGTGAATCGATCGTGATATCCTTCAACTTTTGCTTGCCTCATCCACCTGAGAATCATTATATATCTTGTCCATCAATCAACCAGAGACCTCCAGAATGCCTCCTCCCGCTTCCTCCATAGCTCCTGACGGTACGAAACTGTCCTTGGACGATGGTCCGGTGAATTCAGCCAAACTATTGATTAGTGAAAAATTGCGCCAGTTAGTTGCTCATTCCTGATAGTATCGTTTTGAGTGTTCACTCCGTATCGTGATCATCTGACAGATTGTTGTCTTGCATTGCATCGGTGTCCTTCTAGGGCAGAGACGAACTTCGTCGGTCCTTTGCGAGCCATTTTCAAGGATGCCTTCAAAAACTATCCAACTGCAACTGTGAGTTCCAGTTTCGGATGTTCTTCGACTTCAAAGCTCATGAAACTAAACCCCTTCACTATTCCCTTTAGTCGTATTTTATGATTTTCTGCGGTCTTAGCTTGTTACCGATCATGTGTTTCGTTGGGTTTACCATCTTCATTGCATCAGCCCTGTTAGCTACAGGATTGGTTTTCGTTTTGACCTGGGGTGGTGTTATGATCGGTTCTGCTCGTTGAGTTTCTCATTTGAATCCAGTTTCAATATGCGTTGCCTTCTGTTCATTTACCGATTGAAAAGTTGACTTCTTTATCTCTTGACTTCACTAGTCTTCACACTTCTTCTATCATTGGCGTTTTTAGCATTTGCAACTTTTTGGATCGTCATGGCTCTCTTCTCCACCATCTTTGTCTTGAGACTTATCTACAACGTTCAAAAGGTGTTCGTGCATCAAGTTGGAGTACATCATTTTTCACAAATCATCCCCAATCACTCACACCTCGGGAGCCCCTTTGGTCTGACTTTGCTTTTTGTCATCAATAGGATAGTCAACTGTTTCAGGACTTGAGTCAGCATCTTCATGAGAAAGGACTGAAAAGAAAGCAGCGAGAACGAGAAGCAAATGCTGAACAGGCCAATATCACCTTGGTTGCCGGGGTAGCAAGTCCCTAGTACGGTGTACCACTCATCATGACCATTGGGTATCTTCTGGAAAGTGTGTCAGTCTGATGAAGATTCACATCCTTGAATTCCATCATCATTCATTTTTTAGGCTGATTCTCAACGTGTCAACTGTAGTCTATCCTCTTATTCATTCACACTTATAGTCCAATCTCTCTAAATCTCCAAAGCTAATTGGACTCAATTAGACGGCAATTATCATCATTTATCACATGTAAGAATGTCGTTGTAAGGCCACTCGCTCATACATATTACCTTATCTTTGTTTTGAAAAGTACATATTAGTGTATCACCTCATATCTCTATAAAACAGGGAAATGCCATACTTCCGAAGAGGCCAAATCACCTTCTGATATTCCCTGATTAACTTACATGAGAGCCTGTCTTTGGCCAAATTCTCTCCACTGGAAGTATTTCAGCGATCCATGAGATTCAGCAGTCCATGATGTTCACTGATGAGATTGAGTAATCGAGGCTATGATGTCATCTGATGTCAACTTGACGTCTTCACACTAACAGAGGTTAGAGTGTAAAGTGAAATCACTTGCTTGACGTGCTGCGTTTCATTTATAGATAAGATTCGATTTATGAAGAGTTTCACCCATCGGGTCCCCTTTCTTGATGACTAAAAGCTTTGTGATTGGTCACTGGATGGGTTCGTTGCTATCTTAATTGATTTGGCTATGACTAGATATGCAGCTCAGCAGTGTATAAAGGAAGGATTCGGCCCGCAAACAAGACGGATTGATATGTATGCATTTACATAAGAAACCACCTTGATCTTCATCGTCATGATCTCCTTCATCGCCCACGTTTCTTATCTTAACATTACTTTTTGATTGATAAATAGTTTGCAATTACGATAAACAATGTAATTTATATATGCTGCGGATTCTCATACGATTGACAAAAAGGACACACCATTCAGTTGGAATTCAATAAGATATTCTCAAGGAAGTTTAACCTAAAACACTGCACCGAATAAATAGCGATAGACGGATATAATCCATTGGCTTATCTTTGTGAATGGGAATTCGCTACCTATCCAGCTCGTACTCTAGACTTAATATCTTCAATAACAAAATCATTCCTCTTCAGATTCATTCGATTCATTCCACAATTAATTATCCTCATAAAACGTTTATAAGAATGTCGAGCCATGAATCTTTTGTTCAACTCAATGATGGTCACAAGGTTCCTCGAATCGCTTATGGTAGTGGTACAGCTTGGTTCGAAAAGAGTGGTCCGGATGGAATCAATTCAGAACTTCGTGATGCGACTTTAACTGCTTTACGTTGTGGTTATACTCATCTTGATACTGCAAAGGTTTATGGAAATGAAAGAAGTACTGGAGCTGCAATTGAAGCTTGTGGTATGAAACGAGATCAACTCTATATTACTACAAAGGTTGGTCAAAAGTTTTCACTTGACTTGGTTTTTCAAATTGAAGAAACTGATCAAAGGTCTGATTCGAATTGCTTTAGATCATGAGTCAAATGACCAAAATCAAAGAAACTTTAAAAGTTCAATTAAGTGATCTTAAAATAGATTATGTAGATTTATATCTAATTCATAGTTCTACTTTTGTTTCTGAAGCTGGTGCTCCTACCTTACAAGAAGCTTGGAAAGTCATGGAAGAAATTCAATCTGAAGGTTTAGCTAAAAGTATTGGAGTTAGTAATTATAGGATTAATGATTTGAAAGAAACTTTAAAGAATGCTAAGGTTAAACCTGCGGTGAATCAGTTGAGCAATTTGATTTTAAGATCTTGATCTGCTTTATACATATATATACTATTTTATCTTACTTTACTGATCATGGGATTTTTTTTGTCGAATTACTTTATCAGAATTGAATTTCATCCTTATGTTTGGACTGAAGCAGAACCATTATTAAAATTCATGAAGGAAGAGGGAATTGCTTTGGCTGTGAGTTTCATTTGCTACCGATCGACCCATCCATCCACCTAATCTATTCCAACGTGAACACTGACGCGATAATCTGATGTTCAACTTCTAGGCTTACGGTCCACAAGTTCCAGTAGTCAAAAAAGCAGGAGGAAAAGCAGACCCAATCTTAGAAAGAATCTCCAAAGAACGTAATCTAACAACCGGTCAAGTTTTACTCAAGTGGGCTAAAGCTCATAATGCGATTGTAGTCACTACGAGTGGAAAAGAAGAACGAATGAAATTAAATTTAGAAGCTGTGATGAAAAGTCAAGAAGATTTATCTAATGAAGAAATCGAAGAGATCAATAAGGCTGGAAAAGAGAATGGAGTTCAGAGAGCGTTTATGCAGCATAGTACGTTCATATAAGCTCTTTAATTGTGATTTCTGATATATAATCGATTCAGACTTACTGATATGTGATTTTTTTTCTGAATTTTCATCATAGTGAGTCAATAAACTTCAACCATTGAACCAAGTTGTTGTGATGAGTTCCTTTTTATCAAAATCCTGGTCTACCATTTTCAAAATTCGTCTTGATTCTTATCATCATGATATAGCGTATATATATGAAGTGAACCTCCTGTGCTCCTATCATCAGCTGACATCTTGTAATTTTTCATATATTGATCATCTATCACCGTCTTAGATTTTGTGTCTTTGTTAGCAAGTGTGATGGTTTCAATATCGTTTTTATTACTGCCCCTTGTAAAGAAATCTGGACTGTGTTGATGTTGAATGTGATATTGACATTGAGGACAGCATACTCAAGGGATCTAAGAGAGTGGAAAGAAAAAAATTGGCTCCATTTGGGTCACTAAATGTCGAATAAGCTAATTAGAGTATGTATGAGGAATAAGGAAAGCGGGTATGGCCGGGTATCTGTTGGTCAACTTTGATCACCCATGAAACATTATCACAGTGTTGGCGTGCAAAGCACTCTGTATCAAATGTGACTGCAGACTTCCTCTTGTTAGTGAAGATAAGTATTTCAGTGGACAGTTAAAGATGTTATCACATTATTACTATAGTATAAAGTATGCAATTGTCAATGCCTTTGAGAGAGACGACATTGGTATAGACTTAGTCACCCCAAAGCAATAAACAATGTGGGTCGGTCAAGACACAAATTCCTGATGCATCTCCACATCAAAGTCTCTGATGTCTTCTCAGTGTACCTAATTAGCTTGAAATAGACCGAGAAGACAGAAGATGCGATCCAAGTATTTGATAACAGAAGAAGCAGCAAGGGGGGAATACTGCAATATACATGTGTCAAAGTACAGCAAGGAGGTTCTACCAGTGCAGTATTGTCAGAGAACACCAGAGCTTCATAAGATTTTCAAAGCTTGACCAAATTGTATGTTGAGTGAATGATTTGTAAAGTGACTTTTGAATTTGTCCAATGCCAGTTTGCTGGCCTGGCCAGGTTTTTTTTGCAAGAGTTAAAATGAGTAACATGAGTTTTGATAATCCAATTTCTATAAAAGATTATTTAATTTGATTGATTTTAGCAAATAAGGTGGATGATTTCTTCAGAGAGAAGAATTTGTTTTTCTGAATGGGATGGAAATAACTTGGCCTAAGATACTGGGGGACTACAGTGATTCGAGATTAGCTTGACCAAATCTCGAGTTTTTTTTTTTTTTTTTGCCAATACAGGCAATTTTATAAGCATAACTAGCCTTATAGTCAATTGAGCTGTTGACCGGGTTCAGACCGTTGAACCCGGTCAGCAGCCTTGTTGACTCTTGTTTACCACCACCTCAACACCACTCCAAGCCCTCGACACCCACTCCAAACCCTCGACACCCACTCCAAACTCTCAATATCCTTTCGATACTCTCGACACCCACTCCAAACTCTCAATATCCTTTCGATTCCTTTCGATTCCTTTCGATATCCTTTCGATTCCTTTCGATATCCTTTCGATTCCTTTCAATATCCTTTCAATATCCTTTCAATATCCTTTCGATTCCTTTCGATTCCTTTCGATTCCTTTCGATTCCTTTCGATATCCTTTTAAATCATTTCAACTCTTTTAAAACATTTCAAATCCTTTTAAAACTCGATTTCCTTTCAAAACTCAATCCTGTTTGGTATTTAAACCCTCGTATCTACTTCTACTCGACGATCTCAACATGCAAAAACGACCTACGAGGCAACAGATGGATTTGGCGGCAATGGAAGCAAGAAGAGCGCTAGAAGTGTAAGTAATGTCTACTTTCCATTGTAATCGTCATCTAACTCACTGTTTGTCGGAAGGAACACATTGGTTTGCTGCCAGGGTACTCACGCCCTTAGCCCTGATCGTAACCAACAACCTATCTCGACCAGTCAACCCTCATCTTGATCGGACCAGTGGATTACTTCAGGGCAAGGTCCAGACCAGCAAGGCTGGCTAGGCAGGGATGTATGAACATCATGGTTCAGGCTAGACACTAGACACATGTACACTCTCATATCACATATATAATGTACTATTGTTCGCTCTCTTTGTTGTCTCTTTTCCTCACCAATTCCATACATCACTAGCTCGCCTTCCTCTTGTCATTTTCTCTCAATTGTTGTCTCACTCGTGTGTGCTGATCGTGCGCACCTCTCAGGTATGCATTGCAATCTATGACCGATTCCATACATCACTAGCTCGCCTTCCTCTTGTCATTTTCTCTCAATCGTTGTCTCACTCGTGTGTGCTGATTGTGCGCACCTCTCAGTCTGCTGACAGGTTATGAGCCCAGCTTAGCGCTAACTCATACAAACAAATACAAACACAAGATTAAAATCCCTATAATGAAATAAGAAGAGCAATCAGTCCTCGGTCAAAATTCATTTTTTTTTTTATCATGTCCGATGAAACCCCCTCTCGCGAGCGATCTGGAATCCCTCTGCTCAAATCTGACAACTTTGCGGTTTGGGAATTCAAAATGAAGACTTGACTACGTGTTCTCAAGGTTCTGAACATCGTTGAAGGAAACGAGGCGGCACCGGATCCAATCACGGATGCCTGGAACGATAGAATCAATCTAGCTCTATCTGAAATCGTCACCAAATTAGATGACGCCAATACCTCCCATGTCTTCGAGCACGTCAATGATCCCGCAGCCATGTGGATGGCACTCACTTCTCTCCACGCTTTGTCTTCCCCTGCCAACAAAGCGAAAATCTTTGGCCAGTTCTATGCTCTCTCCTGCCCCACTTCAGGAGACCTCAAGACTTTTCTGTCTGAGGTTCGGTTGGTTGACCAACAGCTTACTCGCATAGGATTCAAGGTTGACTCAGAGGTTCTAGCCTATTTCACCTTGTTCAAGCTCCCGCAAGAACTCGATTCTGTACGTTCGGCCCTTCTGTTCGGTGGCAAGGAGGTCACTCTCAAATTTGTTCTCGACAGTCTCGACCAAACTTCAACCACCGCCTCAACTCCCACCATTACCGTCAAAACTGAATCAGCGCTGGCCGCCGTTCCTGAGCATAGTCCCGCAGCAAGTCGACCTCGATGTACTCACTGTAAACGTATGGGGCATCTTGTCGACACTTGCTACCGCCTGAAACCCCACCTCAACCCTTGTAACTCTTTGGCTTCAGTGGCAGAGCAGGTCTATACGGTCTCCAAATCGACTTCCTCCAACCTCACCATTCTGGATTCTGGGACCACATCGCACATGTTCAATATATTGTCCCTTCTTCAGAATCCGCAACCTTGCAATATCAAGGTTGGTATAGGTGAATCAGGTCGGTTCATGACGGCAACCCATATGGGCACGGTGTCAGCTGTGGCTTGTTCAGGGTCACTCCAACTCGGTCAGGCTCTGTTTATCCCGGAGCTTTCGAGAAATCTGCTTTGTTATAACAGGTTTTTCGAGAAGGGGTACTACATATGTCCTTCTACCCCTGGAAGGTTCAATCCCACGAACGGATCTCACATTCTCATCAATGGGACTGTCAACAATCATCTCTTTTATCCGGACATCACATTTTCATCTTCGGGAACTTTGGGGTCAGTATCTTTCATAGCTCATGGCATCAAGACCTCCACTTCCCTTTGGCATAATCGCCTGGGTCATCCTAGCCCATCCTATCTTTCTTCCATTTTATCTCTTGTTGGAGCTGGTCCATCTGATGAGGCTGTGTGCGCCACATGCGCTACATCAAAAGCCCATCGTCTTCCCTTCTCTGGCAACCTTCCCCGCCCGTTGGCTCCCTTAGATGTTGTTCACTCCGATCTGAGCGGGATGATCACTCCTCCAACAATTAGTGGCTTTCGTTACTATATGAAGATAACTGATGGCTTCACCTCCTATCGACACATTTTTCTACTCAGATCCAAAGATGAAGCGTTTTCACAATTCCAATTGTATGCAAACAATGTCGAAACGTTTCACTCCCGCAAGATCAAGAAGCTCGTATCTGATGGAGGTGGGGAATATGTCAATAAGTCTTTCTCGACTTGGCTTTCCAAGAAAGGCATCACTCACCAAGTCACCGCTCCGTACACGCCTGAACAAAACGGCGTGTCTGAACGCGGCAACACCATCACAGTCGAAAGAGCCCGCTGTCTACTTTCAACTGCAGGCATGCCGTCGAATCTTTGGGGTGAGGCGGTCACCACGGCCATCTACCTGGAGAATCGCCTTCCAAGCAAATCAACCAATTTTTCCACACCGTATGAGCTCTGGCACGGACGAGTGGCATCCTACAGCCACATCAGAACATTCGGATGTGCTGCCTTTGTTCATCTTCCCAAGTTCAAGCGTGAAGGCAAGTTTGGTCCTACCGCTCAGCGCGGTGTTCTCCTTGGTTTTTGTGAGGGAACTTGAAACTTCAGGGTAATTGATCCGACTTCAATGAAGATCACTGTTTCCCACGACGTCTCTTTCGACGAGTCCTCCTTCCCATTTTCAACGCTTTGCCACAATCCGGATCTCAACTCCATCTCTGAGCTATTCGAAGAGGATCAATCTCCTTCCATCGACACTTCCAAACCTCCCCAACGACTTGTTCTTCGGATTGGGCCTCCTCCGGCTACGATTCCACTTCCTGACTCTCCAACCACTGAGTCCACGACCTATGAGACGGCCGAGTCCAATCCCTCGACTGCAGCCCCCGTCAGTCCACCTTCTCCTTGTCCCGTTCGCAATTGACAGCCTCCTGAACGATACGGAGAATTTGGTGCTCTTGCCTTCAATGCCGAGATCATACCTCCTGGCGAACCGGTCACTTACCGACAAGCCTTGGCCTCCGCAGACTGTCATCAATGGAAGTCAGCCATGGACCAAGAGCTTCAATCTCTGGACGAGTGCAAAACCTGGTCGCTAATCAAGCTCCCCCCCGGTAAACATTCCATTGGTTCAAAATGGGTCTTTAAAATCAAATACAAGTCAGATGGTTCCATTGACCGCTTTAAGGCTCGATTTGTTGCCAAAGGATTTTCTCAAGTTCCCGGTCTCGACTTTGGAGAAACTTATGCCCCTTATACCTGGTCAACTTTCCACCCTCCGCCTTCTCATTGCCATCTGTATAGTGTTTGGTTGGGACTTCGATCAGATGGACGTCGTAACTGCCTTCCTCAACGGTCTTCTCGACAAGGAAATCTATATGGACCCTCCTCCCGGGCTTCCCAACTCAGAAGGTCTCAAGTGTCGACTTCACCGAACCCTTTACGGCCTGAAGCAATCACCTAATCGATGGTATCATCGCATCTATACCTGGATGTTATCCATGGGTTTTGTGGTAAGTGAGCACGATCCGTGTCTCTTCATTCGTGCCAAACCTGTCTCTCCGTGCTTCGTCTATATCCACGTGGACGACCTCGCCATCTTCGGGAAGAACATCACCTGGTTCAAAGACGCCATCAAGAAAGAATTCAAGATGGTCGATCACGGTCCAGCTCACTTCCTGCTCGCCATGCGCATCACTCGTACCCCTGACTCGATCTCTCTCTGCCAAGATTGGTACATTCTCTCCCTGCTCGAACTCTTCGGCATGACAGAATGCAGACCTGTCTCAACCCCTTTTGTTCCCGACACCCATCTCGTCCCGGCAACCCAATCCGAGATCGATGAGCTCAATGCCTTGGGCGTATCCTACCGAGGTATTGTGGGCTGCCTCGGCTACCTCGTTCAGTGCACACGCCCGGAACTCGCCTATCCATGCAGCATCCTTGGTCAGTTTCTCGAAAATCCCGGCATTACCCACTGGATGGCCGCCAAACACGTCCTACGATATCTTTCCGGCACTCGACTTGTCGGTCTCACCTTCCGCAATAAGCCTTCCTCCCTCAACATCATCGGCTACAGCGATTCCGATTGGGCCGCCTGCCGCTTCTCCCGTCAAAGCATGTGTGGGTACACCTTCATCATCTGTGGCGGTACAATCTCTTGGCGTGCCAAGAAACAAGTCTCCGTCGCCTCATCCTCAACTGAAGCCGAGTATCGAGGTCTTTTGGATGCTGGTAAGGAGGCCCTTTGGCTTCGTGGCCTCTACCAGTCGATTATCCCATCCAACTCGACCGATCCGAACATTCTCTTTTGCGACAACCAAGCTGCTATAGCCTTAACGAAGTCTTCCGCCTTTCGGGCCAACACCAAGCACATCGAGGCCCATTTTCACTGGATTAGGGACCAAGTATCTTCCGGCCTCATCTCGATTCCCTATTGTCCCACTGGTGAAATGGCCGCTGATATTTTTACCAAGGCCTTAGATCGTGTCAAGTTGGTCCGCTTTTGTGCTATGATGGGGATAGGGCCCTGCGTGGCACCTTCGGCGAAATGACGGCTCATGTCCTGATCGCGTTTTTTTTTCTTCTTTCTCTTTGCATCAGGACGGTCACGTGGGACCCGAGTGCGTGTTATCCTGTGCTGTTTTCTTTTCAAGCTACTCCACTTATTGGTTGCATGTGATCAGGATGTATGCTGCTTATCATTTTTTTTTCTCTTTCTCAGCTTTGCTACCTTCTTTTCTTGAGAGTTGTGAGGCACCCTGTGCATCAAATGGGGGGGGTGTCGGAAGTAACACATTGGTTCACTGCCAGGGTACTCACGCCCTTAGCCCTGATCGTAACCAACAACCTATCTCGACCAGTCAACCCTCATCTCGATCGGACCAGTGGATTACTTCAGGGCAAGGTCCAGACCAGCAAGGCTGGCTAGGCAGGGATGTATGAACATCACGGTTCAGGCTAGACACTAGACACATGTACACTCTCATATCACATGTATAATGTACTATTGTTCGCTCTCTTTGTTGTCTCTTTTCCTCACCGATTCCATACATCACTAGCTCGCCTTCCTCTTGTCATTTTCTCTCAATCGTTGTCTCACTTGTGTGTGCTGATCGTGCGCACCTCTCAGGTATGCATTGCAATCTATGACCAATTCCATACATCACTAGCTCGCCTTCCTCTTGTCATTTTCTCTCAATTGTTGTCTCACTTGTGTGTGCTGATCGTGCGCACCTCTCAGTCTGCTGACACTGTTTTCTCTAGTGCGCACAGGCAGACCAGGAGAGCTGGACCGGAAGGCTTCAGTCCCGAGCTTGGAAGAGGTGGTAATCCATATTATTACGACACGTAAGTTTTCTTTTCGATTCTATTTTTGATTCAAGCACTTCACAAATGCTGATTACCTTCATGTACGGTTTTTAGACCCGGACACCACTGGGAAGGTGTTAGATTTGGCCAACGCCAATATCTTGACTTGGAAGTCATCCATATCGATCCTCACGAGCATCCTGGTTTTCGCGAGTTCCGCTGTAAGAACCATCCGAAGATTGATCCAGGTGAGTCTTTTCTTTCACTTTAAAACCTTTATGACAAGCTTTAAGTTGATATTGATTCAACTTCAGATGCCGATATCAAGATCTTTCCCCATGGTTTACCGTCTTACACTCCGATGGCCTCTCAAGCTCAATCTGCTGGATCGGGAATCATGCTTGATTTCGATTTCAATCATCGGGATCCCATGTTTGGAGATCAGTTTTTCGATCGACGACTCGAACGTGCCATTGGAGGTCAGTCTTTTCTCTTTTTATCTCACTCTTGAATACCAAATATAAACTGACTATTGTCCCTTTAGATCCACATGTTGATGTGGATCTAACCCAATCACCGAGTCCGATCCGCGAACCTTCTGTTGGACTGATTCACGCTTATCCTGAGGCGATTCAAGCTCCTACTGGACCAATAGTTGCCTCTGCCAATAGCACACCTACCCGAACTAAGATTGGGTATCACGTCTATAGCCGAAATCACCTTACTGATGCCGAGAAACACTCCGGGGCGACTGTAACTTACGTTGACTACGTCACCAAGGTACCATTCGAAAAACTCATTCAACTTCATGGTTTCTCTCTCAACAACGTGAAGGAGTCCCTCTACAAGGCGTGCAACGAAAATAGGCAACCTTGCGGTGACCTTCTCAGGACCGCTGATGAGGAAGGTAATCTTACTCTTAAGGGCTATGTCTGTAACGGTGAAACATTGAGCAAGACCGCCCTACCTTTAATTCCAAACAACGAAGTTTTTGGTGACTTGAAAGAGATGATCCTCCTCA